TCTCTGAGAGTGACCTCTGTGTGGGTGGTGAGAGAAGGACAGATAGAAGTGCTTTTATAACAGACATCCTGTGGCAGGGCTGGTCTACAACACAAAACCTGGCTCGACCCCTGTTCTCTTCTGGCTTGGCAAGGACAGACATGAAGTGAAAAGACAGACTGTTATCCTGGACTGACTCTGCTGTGTCCAGCTTAACTGAAAAAAAAATTTTAAAAAATGTGGAAAAGCCCACTGTTTAACAAGCTCATGAGACAACTGAAGCCTTCATTGCTTCAGTGAAGGTTTTATGATTCTCATAATATACCACAAGTCTTAAAATTGTTCTCATAACACTTAGCACTTGTATTTTTAGGAATACATTTATGAAAAACTTTAAAATATCACAGAAAATAATGACAATTGCGTTGAAGAATACAATTGACTTGTAATGGCAAATGACATACTGTACAGTAGTTACCCTTGCTATTTTTGTCCATTGAGTGAAACATGTGCAGCGCACATCAGATGGAAGAATAACCAATACCAGCCACAGCTTACAGCCCGTTTCCCTCTTCCTGACCTCAACAAAGCAGAACTCCATTAGCCGGGACAACGGATGACAGATACTAACTGACACTGACAGGAGTGCAACACACATAATAATGGTGCAAATTGTAAAATTAAATCTGGTTAATAAAGATAACACAGAAAAAAATGGCAAAGGTAAATAATGAGATCGAAATTAAATAATTGATCTTGTAAGCAGTAGATGAGCAAACACATCAATGTCTCTGAGCAGTTTAATTGGATGGAAAGCTCCACAGTAGCTATTTGCAAAGACAAGAATTATCTTTCAATCAAAGCTTTTAAACCATGGATGTAAAACATTGATCAGAAGTTCTTAAAAGTGCTCAGAAGAAAAAAAAAGTAAGCATCTACAGTTCCATGATGACTGGGGAACTCCATTTGCTGAAAAATATTGTGTGAAAAGATTGAAAGCTCCAGAAAAGCTAATAAGTGGACCTTTTCCTAAGACTATATACTTATAGATACGATTATAAATAATCCACCTGCCAAATAAAAAATTGTATTTACTTTTTTAAAATAGATCAATAACAAATAGGACAGACTACTGTACATTTAATGTGTAATGTATCTTAATTATTTAAACAAAACATTTCTTCACTTGTTCCCTAAAATATAGCGCATTTTATAGTATTATAATTCTTTAACTTTACATATATATACATTTATCAAAATATCTTTTAGCAGCCATTATTCTTCATGAGTTTGGAAGACTCAAATGTATTGATAAGAAAAATTTAAAGTTGCAAATGTATTAGGTGGTTAGGATGTAGATAGAGGATGGAAGTCTAGAAAAAAGCAATAATGAAGGAAAAATATAAGGAAGATTAGAAATTCTCACCCTTAACACAAAACAATCACCAATAATACCTGAAATAAAGATGCAAAAAGAAGACAATGAAGCCTTTTAAGGTCAAAGGCCATGAATTTTGTTTATTTTTTACAGCATTGCTCATTTTTTTTTTTCAGTTTATTTAATAATCTAGACGTAGAAGTAGGGGGAGGGGTTAAATTCTCGCTGGAAGACAGACAGGGTAAAGATAAAAAAAATCCTCTGTGAAATAAAAACAAAAAAATATACATTACATTACATGATAATATCAACCGCCTGAAAAAATAATTGTGGAAAAAAAGGGGAAAGTGCATTTAAGGCAACTGCTAGTTAGCTGAGTTTGCACAAAAATAGTCTCAGTCATTCCCCTTGGTAAAGTGAATGGAGTGGGTCATGGCTACTGTCCGCTATGTAATGAGACGCTTTGATACCCTAGACCTGTGAATGGAGCCAGAGGGGTGGTATGAGGCCAGATACACTAGCTCAGGTACAAAGGGAAAAAGCATGGTCAACTAGTAAATATTGCAGGGACTGGGCAGTTAGACTGACAGGAGAGAAGTGGAGCAGGTGTAGTGTTTCATTCACTTTCTCCTGTTTCATATTGGGGAAGTGGACGCTTAAATGGCAAGTTGTGTTTAGTAAAAGAAGGTTGTTAGTATCAAAGACATTATTGTTAGTAAAAAAAGAGGGGTAGAGAAAGAATCTGCTGTATTATTGGGACAGAGAAATTAGTGACGTTATAATGTTTTTCCATATAAATTCAACAGATGAATTCAGCTTTTGTCCATTTTTTTGTGAGACAAGAATGTTTACTGATGACATTACAGTTAGATCTGACCAATCATCCAACCAGAGTTTATGGAGATATTTTGCTAGGTAATCTGAAAATATTTACAAGTCTGATAAAAGATGATGTAACTTTAAAGGGCGAGTTGGAAGTGGCTCAGTTGGAACCAGCACCCCCTGCTGGTCAACCAGAGCAACACATTTGAGACAGTAGAATAATAAATACAGTATACTGTGGGTGATAGAGGACGGAAAAAAGGATACAGGAGGCAAATATTCCATTATTCCACATTCATATTCCAACGATTTTTCAGTTATAATTTTCAAGGAAATAAAGTTCATCTTTGCAGCCGTCACCACAATAAAACAGAGCAATTTATACCCCCTTTGAATCATTTATAAACTGCCAAGTACATCAACTGTTCAAGCTGCTTCAGAGAGTAAAAGAAAAGTGCAACTATTCACAGAAATAAAAGGGGAGACTACATGAAATAATTCCGACACATGTACATATCAACAAATGTATATATTACAGTACAGAATATGGATGTTTTTTTCTCAGTGGAAATCTTGGGACACAGTATCTGAGTGGTAGGAGCTGTAAAAAAGAAGGAGAAAAAAAACAAAAAAGATAACCAGAGAGTAAAGCTCTTACAGTCTGCTGGTTTTTAAGACAAATTAAGAAGCAGTTTGACAATCTGTAGGTTTTTCTGTGGAGATCCAGGTTGAGTGGAGCTGGATCAGAGTGTCCCCTGTAATCTTTTCCTTCTCTTTTTTTTTTACCTCTCTTCACTCAAGTCTGTAATGTGTGTCCCGTGAAGACGTGGCGACCTGAGTGTCCTGTATCCCCCTTTGGTGTCTGTACACACCAGTCTCTGCAGTGTAGTTATGTCTTTTTCCAGGTATAACGTCTGGAGAGTCCGCGCAGTTTCGTGTAAGCACCATTCTGGGAACAGCGAGGGCAAGCCAGCAGGTGACACACCATGCCCCGAGTTTTCCTTATAGGAATCTGACCTGAAATGGCCTCTGCACTCATGGGCCCTGAGTTGGCTCGCTTCTATTCACCAAGAGGTTGCGTTCATGGAGAACGTCCTTTCAGGTTTGGAAAGGAAAGGAAAGATGAGGAGAAAAAAAAGAGAAGCTGTGGTCTGGCGGTTTGTTTGCTTCGTTGTATATGAGTTTTTCTGTCTGTTTATATTCCAACTGTGGCTAAATGGTGGTGAATGACATATTATTACCCTGCATGGCAGAGAGAACGTTTCCCAGGCTTTGGTTTGGATTTGTCAAAGCATGTGTGTGTACGTGTGTTTGCATCAGCATGCACGCGTGTCCGTATACTGAATGTATGTACGTGTGTGTGTCTGCATCTACTGTAAGTGTCTCTCAAATTGTGTGTCGTTCTTGCAGTCTGTTACAGTACTCCCAGCTGCTTGGAGAGACGTTTAATGTCCAACAACGCTTCGGAAAAAAAACATCATCCTGGGCAGCATCCTGAGAACCCTGACCCCCCGTTAAAAAAACGAAAGAATAAAATCTGAAGTGTGAACATCCATGGCCAACACACGACACATCCACCTACACTGACAGCAGTCACTGATGTTATGACACTTGCAGCCACTGCTACGCACATTGTTCCACACTTGTCCAGAAAATAAATAACACTGCAGTCACAAACAAGATCTCCAAGCTGACACACCACCTGAGAGACAGACAAAGAGAGAGAGAGAGGAGTCACAAAGAATTAGAAGAGTCAAAAGTACTGTGTCAAAGCAATAGTAACACACAAATGTGGCACATTTTATAATATTTAGAAATCAATATTGGTGAGTGGTCCTTGGAGAATTACTAGACTATGTACAACCCCTTATCTCTAGTGAGCATTTTATCATCTTTCAGCTCATTGTTTTGGTTTTTTGGCCTACAGGCTTTACTGTCATCAGCATTGTTTCCAGTCGAAGCAGGCAGCTGTTTTCAGAGAAAAAGCTCTAATAAAAAAGCTCTTATAAGCCCAAATGTATGCTACCTGCCTTCCCCAAGGCTGGAAAACGTTTAAATATAGTTTTGGCTGAGATACAACCCAGGTTGTAAAAAACATAACAAAACCTCCTGTAACCCCAAAGAGTGTTTGCATAATTTTAAAAAAAAATCTGTAGAAATAGAGTTGACAATAAATAAATGCACAAGATAGGAAGAGATGGTGACGTTGATGGCACTGAGATTTCTGAGATGTCTGCTACCTGGAAACCTTTTCAATAAGTAAAAATTATGATATGGAAAGAACATGAATGTTAAAAGAAAGATGCAAAGAGACAGAAGGAATAACAGTTGAATATTCCTAAGTGAAGTGAAACAAGTAAATGTGTAGGAGGGAGAGAGTAGACCAGGGTCAAATAGGTTTTGCTTTGCAATTTTGCTTCATTTAATGTGTATGATAAGTAAATCCCAAATTCGATTACTTTAAAATTAGTTCTCATAATAATAATCCACTGCTTTTATTTTGAAGGTCAGCAGCCGATATCAGGAATTCTTAATAATGCTACAGAAATGCATCTTGCCTGAGCGCTTGTCAAGGCCAATTCAGGCTCTGCAGCCAGAGTGTTCCCAGTTTTGACTTTGGCTGCCGCACAAAGCCAGAACACTTGCTGTGCAGGGTTCTGCTTTGATGGGAAACTATTTGACCAAGGTCCAGAAAAGATGTTGGTTTGAACTTTCTACTGAAAGCCCTCAGGACTCACCTCTGCTACGGGACACGCCAAAGACTTCAAGGCCAAAGGATAAAGGCAAGAGAAAAGAACAAGAACAGAAACAAAAACTGGAGAGAGAAAGAAAGAGATGAAGAAGGGACAAAGAAAGTGAGAGAATTAGAGGAACACTCAAGATATGTTAGTAACAGCAGAGACAGAAACAGAGGTTCACTGTGCAGGGAAACCGGAACACCATCCATGAACCCATACTTTTAAATATTACATATGTAAGCATCTAATGGGGCATTTTTACTTTGCGAAAAAGTGAAATTTCTTGTATACACTCAAAATTCAGTTTAATATAGATCCCATAGGCTTTAGTCTGAAAACTCTCCTACTTTGCCTGTAAGCAAAGACCTTTAAACTAATGAACTTGGTAGCATTTCATGGGGAGTTTTGTCTTCAAGCTGCTGATCTTTAATTAATCGACATGTTCACTTTTTTTTTTTTTTACAGAAAACATGGCCTACCTTTTCCTCCAGGTCTTTAATCTGCCTCCTCTGGATTTCTGTCTTGTCTTCAAGGTCCCGAATTCTCTGCAAATATTCAGAGAGAAAAAGATAAGGAATATGTTGCAGAAAGGTAGATTGAGGCAAACCGCATTAACAGCACCTTTACAATTTCACACACACAAATGAAAACACACAAAGCTATTTGAAATAAAAAGCTCTACTATCACACACATACAAACATCTATCACCGGTAAAAGATAGACAGACCTGGTGCGCCTGGTGCAGCAGTTCCATCCTCTCCTGGAGGATCTGGCAGTCGTACTCTCGGCTCTTCCTGAGCATCTGCCTCCTCAGCTTCTCCACCGCCGTCCGCAGCTCGTCCTTCTGCAGCTCATCCAGAGGCTCGCCATACTTTATCACCTTGAGGAAGAAGACACAAATCACATATAGTGGATACCATGATGGATATTAAAAAAACTTCTTGACACATGGTGTTATCTCTGACCTTACCAGGAAACTTATCAGCAGAGGCTTCAAGGAAATGCAAGATTTCTATCTAATGTTTCCTTGAAGCCTCGGTGTTCTTAATCTGCCTTTATAATTGCAAAGTCTCCATAGTCATAACATTCATTTTCAAGACACTGTGTGTCATGCAGACTGTGTAGATAGTACAGATGTCCACATTAGTGGGATTTACATGATTATAAGGATGCAAAAGCGAATTAATAATAATTGTTTGTGATGGATTTCTTTACATTTTATAAATGTAACCAATACAGATGTTTTTGAGGTTTGAGTTTTTTTGGGAAATATACAGTAGTTTTCATTTAAAAAAAAGGCTGTAATATGTCATGATATGAAGCACCTTGTCCTGCTGCAGGGCATTGTACAACGTTGCTTCCAACTCCTGGATTTGCTGTTGGAAGGAGAAAAAAGGATTTTTATTACTTTGATATCATGTGACTGCATGCTTAACCATTACCATAACTACTAAATGCGTAACCCCAACTCTTAACCTAACTATGTCATGATTAGAACAATAACCCTAAACCAAGTTTTAACCTTAAAAATTTATTATAAATCTTGTGGGGACCCACAGTGTGAACCGATTTTGTCCCCACAAAGTGAGTCACACACAAACACACACTTACCATGTAGGCCTGGTCCAGGGCCTGTTTTCTGTAGTCCAGCTCCTCTTCTAGATATCCTTTCTGTTTACAGAACATCTCCTGTACAGAATAAGCGGGTTGGAAACAGTGGGTTAGAGGAAAACATTTTTATTTATATATTTTTTCACAATACTTTATTTAAACCAATATTTTACTGCTAGGGTCTCAGCGCTATGGGGAATATTTAATAAACTAGCTGAAAATTACTATCAAGGTTGTAAACACAGCAAGTTTCGGTTAACCAAGGTATTTACTAAGGCTACAGAATAAGTTATGAGCTCAGCTGCAGTTAATCTGGTCTACATAAACTAAATAACTACTAAATAAGACCTGATGCCGGGCTTTTTAAGACACGTGCTGGTCACGTATTCATCCTGCAAGATGAAGATTACTGTATACATGAGTAAACATTAGTTATATAGCTTAATGTAATCAGCTCAACAAGGAGAGTTATGAAAAATCAAGATTACTGCTTTTGAAAGAGAAAAACTACTACTTCATAAGCATTACTGGCAGCATCCATCATATAACACTGGACTAAAGCTGCTGTGAGCCTTTAAAAGTAAGAAAAACATTTATAATCAAGCTATATTATGATGGTAAAATTATGTAAAATATGTATTTTCCTGTACAGGATTGTTGTGACTCACCATCTCTATCTCCAGGTCCACCATCTTCTGGTGCAGAGCTGCCTCCGTCCCCTCAATCTGTTGAATCCACTAGAGGGCAACAAACAGCAAAACACGAGTCAGCACAGCACAAATTATTCTGTGTCTTGATATTTTTTAATGTTATCACGTTAGAAACCATGATATAGTTTCCAAACTTACCTTTTCTGCTAGTGACAAAACTGTGCTAGCCTGAATGATGGCCACTTGCTCCTCATTCCTTAAGTTCTGTACAAAAAGGGGGAAAAAATACTTACTTTCTACTACTATTACTATTGATTTATAATGTGCCTGTTTTAGCGTTAGAGCTTTTGATATGTTAAATTCCATATGAATTACCCCATTGTCTCCCAGAATATCTAGAAGTTTGATGAGATCTGGTACACACACATCCTGTAGAGAAAACAGAATAAAATAATATCAGGAGCATACAAATAAAATGTCATTTACCTTCCATTTTTACTTTTGTTCATGGCTTTCTTCTACTATAAAATGTTCAGAGATTAGTATTTGGGTGTTTAATTTTTACTAAAAACAAACACTGCATGCACTTAAAACAGGGAATATAACAATTATGGAATTTACAACAGTGGGATCCCTTGCAAGAAAAGATTAAGAAACCTGCTCTACCTTATTATTAATTACTACCATATAGCAGAGTTCTTCTCCTCTGACATACCTTGACCCCCTCCTTCATACAGTAGATCTGCAGTGCACTAACTCCTTCAGAGAAAGGATGCATTCTCAGGTGGTTGAATGGAGGGGACCTCCTCTCACGCTCCTACGGCAACAGAAGTATACATTTCATTATACAAAGAATGTACTGTAACTGAAATCATGAGGGCCTGTTGACTCTGTATTAGACCTTGTTTTGGATTGTCCTCTTCAGACAGCATTAGCCAGCTTAAAATCAATGTTGACATTTAGAACAAAATCCTTTAAAACAAGACTTTGTGAGACTTATTCTTATAGGTTACAAAAATAACAGCACAGCTTCTCTGGTACTAACCATGCTACTCTGTGTCAATCTTACTAAACACTACTGCCAGCAAACTAGAGGCAACTGACTGGAATTAAAGCAGTAGATTCGCTTCAATAGTATTTTGCATCAATTATATGTTGGGTTTTTTGCTCTGTGTTTGCCAAAATTCACCCTAATCAGTTTCAGTAGATGGTGCTCGTTGCTTTGTTCAGCCATGAAAATGCTGACTACCCATATTTACTCTACTGTATGCACATCTGAGCGATCTGTTCTCCTCTCTGCACACTAGATGGCATCTTAGGCCCTCACAAGCAGCTGTCAGTACCTGCACTGCAGCACAGCCAGAACACAAAGACCACTGTTAGTGGAAGTGTATGCACGGGTCAGCCACAAGTCATTCCACAGCGTGGGACGTTTCTCACTTACAAACCCTGATTTTTCTCTTTTGCTTTCAAAATGTAATTCCTCTGTCCTTCATCTGAAGTATTTTTTTAAACTTCAATGTATTTTACTTCCTCTAACTTTATAATATGGCTGACCTCCAGGAGAGCAGACTATGAGTTTACTGTAGCTGGATAACAGATCAGAGAAACCCCCAGAAGCTTTTTTTCCCCTACTAGTGGCCAAGATCTGATTTGTTAGGGAATATTACATTTTGAGCATTTTAGACAAGACCTTGTTCCAACAGACAAAAACAACACCATGAAAAACATTTGGGCTGCATAATAAACAACGGCAGAATGTTAATATTGGATTTCTCTTTAACAAAGGCTTGGTAGGAAACTCTTTGAGACACACCTCTAGCTCCAGTATCCTAAACTCTAACAGTTCATTCTGGTCCTTGGAGTCTTGTAGCTCGATCTGCAGCCGACTGCACTCTGAGTCCATCTTTTCCACCTGGACCACCACAAAGAATCAGAATGAATAGAGAGACAGGAAGAGGTCGTTGGTGACTGTAATTAAAATATGTTATGTAATATGATATAAAGCGACATAACTGTAGGAAACTACAAATAGTTTTTCAGGCCATTATTAAGATTTCTTTCATTAATACCAGTGCTGTGACAAAATCATATCGTATATCAGCATAACTTAAATACACTTCTGACAAATCAGATTCTTTAGAAAATCGGAAAACAAACAAAAAGTTGAGCCCAACCTTGTCTAAAAGCTCCTGATTCCTTCGTAAGAAGAGCTGCTTCTCCTCCACCCACTTGGAGTCCTGACAAAGACAGAGACAGTTGTAACAACTTGTTACGTTGATGAGAGGACAGTAGAAATCCTAAGATTTTGATAGAGTGAAATCATTGGTACATCTATCCTGATTTGTTTGCATATTTTCGCCTGAAAAAGGTTTAAATTAGGCTTTTTGTAATTAAATATATGCCATATATAATTTATATTTATATAAATAAACCATATGTTATGTGTCAACTCAAAGAATTACTTGATGATTACTTCACTGATCAATCAGGGGCATTTTGACATTGACTCTTCTTCACTATTGAGGATGTGCTGCTAATATTAATAGTATGATAAATGTATTGCAATATTGCATTATATTGTTAGATATTCCTGTCCTTTTGTCCACCACCCTATGCATACATTCATCTGCCTTTATGCGCACATGTGCTTGTGTGTCCTACCTGTCCCTTCAGGGTCAGTTCCTTCTCCAAGTCCTCTATTTTGGCTTTATACCTGAGAAGGTCTGCTTGGAGCTGCTCATGAGCCTGAAATATGAAAAGAAACAGACATTCATTACTGGGACGCTTAAGGGGTCTTAGCCAGTATTACAGGAGGTAGAAGATGTTTACATGAAGTCCTCATTAAAACCAGACATATACCAAAACAAGTTTTATCTTTTTATAATATGTCATTTTTAGATTAATAAAGATGCACAATTTGTATCATTCATTCCTCAGGCTAGACAAGCCTGGTGCTGAGCCTTCACCTTGTCCTAACTGTTTGTGTGAAAGCATGTCAGCTTCACTCCTTTATCACTGCAACTCTGGATCTGTTCAGAATACTCTGGTGCACTTAAAAGTGTTTTGACAGCATTCACTGCCCAATACGCAATGTGGTTACACAAAGGGGAGGTAAGAAAATACAGATAAAAGGATGCTTTGTAGACAGATGTATTGATTATTGTGTGATGTCTCAGTGCATCTCCCTCCTTCACATCACAACGTACTCCTAAGCAAGAACCCAAAGAGCAACAGTAAAGAGAGTTTTCAGGTAAAAGTCCTCTTCCCTCTCTGAGAACTTCCATGCTGAAAAACCACAACTGGCTTGATTTAAATGTGGCTTTGTATGTGTACTTTTCATATACAGTTGAAGTCACAAAGTCAGATCATCACAAGGGATTCAGTACCCAAAAACGGCTGAGAACCACTGCACTAGAGGACAAACTGCTATACTGACCCTCTGTAAGGCTTTTATATAGAAATTCACTCTGATGTTCTCTGTGTTGTACTGAGCAGTACAGGTCAAATATCGTCCTACTAAGACACAAACTACATGATACGAACCAACAAAGGTTGTTATCATGTAGGTCCTGAAAAGCCTAGTCTTATATAACAGATTAAATGGCAAATCTGTTTTCAAAATCTATAGAGTCTATCTAGTCTATAGATAATCAGATTCTGTGTAACTCAATTTCCACAGCCTTATGGCAGCCATATGACACCGACATCCACTTCCAGTGATCAGCACCCCACTACAACCCTTGGTGTGTCTTACATTTCTATATTATATATTAACCATATGACACGTCTATGAATGTACCATGACGTCACTTCAGCCTACCTCCAACATAATCAATAGTTATTAAATTACTTTTTTTATGTTTGCTTTCACTGGATTGCTAAACCGAGTGATGCCTCACTGACAAGGCTGTTTTAAATTGTGTTTGTGATGGTAGCTTTATAGTTTCAAAGTAACTCCATTAAGTACAGGTAATGGTTAATAACAGTATTTTGAAGAAACACATATTTTGAAGATTGGAAAACCCTAGATCCAATTTACTTTTCACAGTTTAGTTTTCACAGTATCACAGTATTAATATGACAAAACACAAGCTAAGAATATTTGGATGCACAGAAAAGATTGAATAGGGATAAAAAAAAAAACTGTAATTTTCTCCATGTCTATGTACCTTTGCTTCCATCTCAGCATCCAGAATGCCTCCTTTCTGTTCCTGCAGCAGGGCGTAGGCTCGCTGTAATGCCTGATACTCCCTGGTCAGCTGACGGAAACGCAGCTCCGACTCCTCGTTGGTTAGACCCTTGTGGGACACACACAGTTTAGAGGTTAGATTTGGGCTTCGAATTGAATTGATATGTTATGGATTAAGAAATTAACACAAAATGAACAGAAACAGAACAGATTCAGGTACCCTGACGTAAGCACACTTCAACATGTTACTGTGATACTCCTAAACTTTTTTGCCAACTGGACAAATACGAGGCAAGTTCGCACCTCTTCCAGGTCTTCATCAGGAGTAGCAGGAGTTCTGTCCATCCGGAATGAAGCCACTGATGACGTCTCCGAGTCCATAGACTCTTCATCATACCCAAAGAAGGTGTCTACTACGATGTGCCTCTGCAGAGAATAAAGTTAAGATTACAAAATAATTCATTTAATAAATAGGAATTAAAAATTTTCAAAAGTGATGAAACATTTCTTTCTGTGTTTTCAAAGAATACACAGGCAGGTTTTATATCATTTCGGTTTATTATGTAACCAAATTAAGTTTTAAGATAAATAGCTTGAAACTAATTCAACCTTGAATTGTACCTTTATTGGCCTTGAACTTCTTTTATGCCTTTTCTTTCTTAGTAGTTTTTCTCGATCCTGGAAAAACAGACAAATGGGGAAAAAAAGATAACACACCACTGTAAGATAAACATGTAACATAGGATTTTCCCTATTTTCTAATTAAGTAAAAAAAAAACTCTTTCACACAGTTCACTGAGGAAGTTAGGAATTATTAGATGTTAGTGGGGTTAAGTCACATTTTTTCCTAAATCACTGTAGTGAACACATCATACAAATGATGCACTTTATGTCTCGTGGTCATTGCAGATGATTGCTAATCCAACAATTCCAATTTGCATTTCACATGCAAGTAGTTTTGTGGTTTTTTTTTTCAAGTCTGCAAGTTTGTAGTCAAATCATTAAGGTAATTACTTATTATATTTGTTAAATAAGCTACACAGAGTGCCTTGTTACAAGTATATTAGTTGATCTAGCTGGTGGTAATACTATATACTCCAGGTTGTCCTTAAAAGACAACAGCATGGAGACGACTGCAGGATAACTGGCATTATATATAATATATCTGGTAATAACATCCAAAAAAGCAATTGCATAAATATTAAGACAATTAATAATCAAACACTTACACTTTTCATTATGAAACACAAAACACATGTCTCAAACTATACTGTGTATGTCTAAATAAGGATACAGGAACATCCTGTCTCCACATGAGCTCAGGATTAACCCCCATTGTAAATTACTAAAAAAATTGAAAGAAACATCCAACAGGAATTTAAACTTTCACCCTCAGTATATAGAAAAAAACGCACTCTTGTCAGTTCATCAATCATGCTTTGTTGCTCCAGGACTTGAAGCTTGAGAAAGGCTATTTCCTGGTCATCATGGGCTTGGTCTAGGTCATTCAGAGACTTCGGCTTCTTCATTGGAGGATGAGAGCTGATCTTCTCCTTCTGCAGATAAACAACACGCAGACAATAGTCCTCTAAGATCACAACATCCACATTACAATCAGCCTCTTGCAAAAAAAGTACAAAATGTATATAAGATGCTTATATAAGTTTGTGCTGACCATCTCAAGGTTTTCCTTGGCCAGGCTCTTGAGTTTGTCCTCCAGCTTCTGAAGAGTCTGAGTCAAATCATCATTCCTCTTACTCAGCAGCTTGTTCTTGTCCAGCAAGGGCTTACACTGCTTCTCCGACTCGCGAACTCGCTTCAGCTGGTGGGGAGAAAGGCATATGTGGAAATATTAAACTGTGATTGAGATGAGGAAGTTGGACAGTGACAGACAGAAGCTGGGAGTTCTGAAGGAAAGGCAGAAAGATGAAGATAAGTGACAGAAGGAAGAGAGAGTGGGAGATCCATTATTTTTAATTAAATCATTTGATCCTACCAGTTCATTCCTCTCATCGACCAGCAGTGAGTTGCGGTCTTCTAATTTGCGTATAGTTGAGCTGAGTTCAGCAATGCGCCTCTGGTTTCTCCTGAGGTCCTGATGAAACAAAAACAAAACAATAACTTATCATTTCACACATCCAATCACTAGCCAGGTGTAGAGAAAAAATAGAATTATCATACCAAGGTTGTACGCCTATGGAAACCAGTTTACCTCCATGTCTGTCCAGACTAATATAATATATCCAGTGAATACTTTGAAAGAAATACAATTGTATTGTAAATGTATTTTTTAGCTACTTATCGCTTCCAGTGAATATACGTTACATACTTGATTGTTATGTAAAGACAGATTCTTATTTAGAAATTAGCTATACAAAATATGGTGCTTTTGTCTTCTTATGGCAGTTTTAGATGCAAAGCCTTTTTATGGGCTGTAAGTGAAACTAACTAACACAATCACGATTAGCTAAGCACATGCCAATACGTTGTTTGCAGTCCAATGATGCTCAAAATTCAGAATGAGGCAGTAAGTGAAAGGCAGAATGGATGAGATGGAGAGATGAAAGACCAAACTGTGTACTCATTCTTAAATTATTTTACCTTTGAGTCAAGTGGCAACAATTCAGTGGCTGACCAACTGTGTCAAATGTCCTGAGTTATGGTGTTTAAACAGCCAAAACAGTGTTTTCACATGATATTTTGATGTCACAGTAAAGTTGACCTTTTGGATAAAAAATGTCATCACTTCATTGTTGTAACCCATTAAATATCTGTGTGAAATGTTGTCAAAATGACCTTATACATTCTTGAGTTATGACCAAAAACTGTCAATGTCATTTTGAGGTCACAGTGACCTTTGACCTTTGAGTCAAAAGTGTCATCAATTCTTGTCTGACCAATTGGGAAATATGGTCATCAATGCTTGAGTTATGGCCAAAATGATTACTGATACCTTGACCTTTGAACACAAAAATCTAAACAGTTCATAATTGAGTTCAAGTGGACTTTTCACACCTTGAGGCATTCCTGGTATTTAGTGTTCACAAAAATGGCACAGATGTACAGATGGCCAAACTGAAAACATAATGCCTCCAGCCATGGTTACCACTGGTGTAGTGTAATAACAGAAGGTACGTAGCATGATCACTTTAGACACTTGGCCAGTGCAACAATTAAATATTTTGTTCAGTAAGTCTATTAGTTCTAACAAAACTACCACATCAAGTTAGAGTAACGTGTTAGTGGCATGTTGCTGGAGGCTGACTTCAACAAAAAATAAATAAAAGAAATGAGAAGGCAACAAAATGACCATATCTATGAGAGACATGACACATTTAATCTTAATGTGCTTGCATCTCATGGGCATTACATGTAAATCTCACAAATTGTCACACTTTAAATGTGACAGTTACTCTGAGCTGATCATGGGACTTCAAATCATGATCTGATTTGTTCATGCAATCCAGATAATTTAAAACCATTAGTTTTTTTAATCCCACATGGAGTTGTCTGGATCATGGGTCAGGCTCATTAGATTTCTCAGGGTTAGCTTTTCCCTCAGATGTGACAATGAGCCTTATTCACAAATATTCTTATAATGGTTCCAGTAATTTTCTCTGTTAAAATTATCCATGAAAATGGAAAAAGAATATCGCACTAGAATAGAAGTTACCCACAAAGATCACAGCCACAATGATATACAGCTAGTAACTACTATGAAATCAATTTGACTCTCAGAATTACTCTGGCTTAAAAACTAGATAATTTATCAACAAACTAAAGTGTAGTTAGTGTCAATGCATTTTTAAGATAATACAGGCACAAAATACTGCTCTTTTTCTCCATCTGGCTGTTAAAAAAATGCCACAGTCCCAGCTTCTATTTTGAAAGTACAAGAAAGTCCTCCTTTGCACACACATCTAATTCTGCTCTTACAAATCTGTGCCTGTGTGCTCTTAAAGGTTGACTTGCGAACTAAGTAATGCTGCAATTGTTCTGTGCTCTCTCAAATCTTTTGTTGACAGTATACTTGTGTATACTACAAGTTTGAAGCTGGCAAACTGTGTGAAAAGAAACCTCTCGAAACCAGAATCCGGGCACATTGGCACTTTAGCTACAAAGTGGTATTCAAGTGCTAAGGCATAAACTAAATTAGAATTACCGCCCAGGGGTTGTATGCTTCCGCCAACCAGTCAAGTTGCAGTTTACATCCATGTCCTTCCAGACTATATGTAATGAATACTTGGATATTGGATTTGTTTGCAGTTACAGTGAAATTCAGTGAGGCAGTAAATGAAAGGCCGAATTTGTGCAATCACAGTAACCTTGATGTTTGACCCACAGAAACCAAACAGTTCATCCTTGGGTCAAAGTAGATATTTGCGCCAGATTTCCTTAAAGCTTTCCTTAGATTTTTCAAAAGAAAGGGATGGACAGCTGGACGGACAGATAACCCAAAAACATAATGCCTCTGGCCACAACTATTGTTAGCACAGACGCATTAAATATTTGGTTCAAGAGGTAGAAAGGCAGTTCCCAGAATAGGTTTATATTAATGTTAGATATTAATGAGTGAAGCATGAAACTTCTTGCTATTCCTCTCTACTTACTGGGCTACCACAGTGCTCTGCTCCATCTCCAGCTCTGCCTGGGATCTCTCTTTTCGGGCTTCCCAGGCCGCACTCAGCCTCTTTGACAAGGAACAGTTGTTCATCCAGGGCGTCCTTCTGAAGCTGCAGCTTTTGTAAAAAGCCCGCCGTTGACTCCAGTTCCTTCTCCAGAGCAAAGATGGTGCGGTCTTTAGATTTGATTTCATCCACCTATAATAAAAGATAAGTACATAATAGTGTATTGAGGAAGTTGCTGAGTTGTGTTCTGAGTGACTCTGCTGTTGCTAACTTGTATCAATCACCTGGTAAAAAGACATGGGCAGTTATTGTGCTGAAAACCAAGTGACTTTAATTATGAAGTAAAAATTACCTTGTTGTCTGATCTTTTTTATATATACATATAAAACAAAAAACAAAAAACTTCCCTCTCA